ATCTATTTGTGGTAATTAAATCATAATTGCTCATTGATTTTAGGTGGATTCAATTTATTTCTTATTTCTTTGACTTTACTTGATCATGACATCATCATTTCTAGTTCTTGTATTTATTGTTTGCATTTAAATAAAATAAGTTATTTTATTAAGTGGTTTGTGATCTATGATCCTTAAGTCTCTTCATGAGGTTAAAAAGCTATTCTATTGTTGATCTGGAAAAATGTTTTATTGAAGCAACAAATTTCTGCAGGTTGTCAGCGATTCAGTTATTGTCCATGATTCTTCCAATGGTAGAGAAATTGAATGTCAACTTCTTCCTATTTCCGATGCTATTATGAGATTAAGAACTCGCTATGTCAAAGCATATCTAGGCACTTCTCCCAGCGCCCGTCCTAAATTTTGGCTTGTATTCCCTGTTTCTGTTCCACCTCTCGGTTTCAGCACATATGTTATATCTAGTGCTACAAAGAGAGGTTTCAGTTTTATCCCTTCTTTATGAATTATTATATTCAATTTATGAGCTTATTTCTCTCCACTTAAAGTGCACTGCATCATATTGAGGGCCACACCATTAATTGCTTAGTGCTATTTCAGGCTCTATCACTTCATTGTCAACTTCGTACTTATCAAAGGGAACTAGCAAAGACAACATGGAGATTGGTCCAGGAGACTTGAAGCTCCTTTACAATGTGGATAAACAGGAGCTCTCTTATTATTCCAACAAAAGAAGCTCTGTACGTCTCAGTTGCTCTGTCATAATTGGCTATATCTTTTTGTGATTTTTTTCCCTGTAATTATTATTATGTCCGTCTTGAAATGGTAATTTCTTTGGGTGTAAACTTAACTCAGATTCCAGAGTCGGAATCAATATGCCTGTTCAAGCACCTTTAATTTGTTTCTAAATTTTGAAGTGTTTCTGTAGCATGGTTTTGTTAATTTATTCTAATCATGTCATGCTGGAAAAAATATGCTCATTTCTACATTTAAAGATATTATGTTTTTAATATTTCTTATATCTTTTTTACTGGGACCTTTTAGGTTAAATCATCCTTAGGGCAGTCATATAAGTACTATATTGGAGCAGTTGGAGATAAAACTGATCCACAGGTATGAATTTGCTAAACAAGCTTCAGCTTGTTTTTTGATCAAGTGAGACTTTCTTTTGCGTTTCCTAGTCATTTAATTATTCCCGTGATACTTCTGAAGGCCTCTGGAGCTTATGTTTTTCGCCCAAATGGAACTTCTCTGATCAAATCTAAACAGCTATCCATTGTCCTTTGCTTTGACTGATTTTTAAGCATGTCATTGCTGATTAAATGATCATGCTAATATTTGGCCTTGACGGTTAACCCGCTAAGTGATCGGGGTTAACCTGCTGAGTGATCTTGCAGAAAGCAGTGTCAGGGTGCTGGGACCATTTTTACTAAATGAGAATTCCCTGTATTGTGTATTCAATGACTCTGGGTGTCCTCATCATTTTCTTTTTGTACTATTGATTATGCATATCGTTTTCTTTTAGCTTTTGATTTCATCTTATATGCCTTCTTCTATTCATGATTTTTATTGTGGTAAGGTTCCATTGACTATTATGCGAGGACCCCTAGTAGATGAAGTGCATGAACAGGTCAATCCATGGATATATCAGGTTATGTAATTTCTTAACTTTGTTCAGGTTTTACTTGCATAGTGAAGTATAAATGGTTACATTTGCTTGATTTATTCATGTACTGTAATATGGCCAGGAAGTTGAGGCATGTACATTTGCTTGATTTATTCATGTACTGTTTGAAGATAAATATCGAAGTCCTCTATAAACGCCTAAATATGACTGCCCTAAGGATATCATTACTGAACTGCTGAATGACATTTATCCCTCATTGTTGCTATGGCTGGTGATTCACCAGTCAGTTTCTAGTCCCCAAATATAGGCAATCAAATCATGATTTTTATTACCCATTCATTGTTCACTAAGAGCAACTATAAAACATTCCTGACTTTTACATAACCATTATCAAAATTGATCATCGCAACTATCGTCATATTTTTGTTTTGCTTATCACGATATGCAGAATCTTTGAATTACAAGATTCTTAGGTAAATGCAGTCTTCTATTTATTTATTTATGTAGTTAGCGTGCCATAGAATTTCTGGACCCTACTCACCTTCCTATTTATGTAACTTCTTCTGAGTAGGTAAGAGGGATTTTGAGAGCCTTATTAATATATAGATGTTAATAATGTTGTGAAATGTATCTGAGGACAGTATAATTCATAATATTGGAATAGAAAATCTGAGATCTCAAACTGAAAATGAAAAATGTGAATTGTTGGAAGAGTTGAAATGATAATTATCTTATTGCAATGTGGTGCTTTCTTAAGCTTGAACAATACTTATAGTTTCTTCTTGAGGTAAGCACTTATTTTTATTTTTATTTTATTAATTTTGCTTTAGCATGAATAGACGGCAACAGAAGTCTAGATATAAGTTTTTGCGCCTGTTCTTATAGATAAAAGTTTTGATTTTTTAAGTTTTTATAGTTTTTATTCTTATAGATTAATTTTGCAACAATACTTATAGTTTCTTCTAGATATAAGTTTTTATTTTTTAATATTGACGTTTTCCTTGGTTCTTTCTTGAATTTAAATGGAATTGATGTGCATGCCCATGGCTTGGAGATATGATGCTCTTCTATTAAAATGTTTCCCTATGTTAAAATGGATCTTATGCTATGGATCAGTAATGGAAAGGATGGAGAGATCAATTGGAGATTTTTTTTTTTCATTTCCTTGATGAATTTGAATATGAAAAGTAATTCTCATTTACTCTGACAGGTAAAAAGATAAACAAGCTATTACAATCTGGTAAAATTTTGATTTTTTTCTTAGTTAAAAATTGAAGGAGATTGTGGGCACCTGAAAGTTATTATGAAATAAACAAAAGCTAGGCTGTGGTTTGCATAATGATGACATTAGTGAAATTTCTCATATATAATATAATGATTCAATGCAATGGTTATTGGAATGTGATTATGTCCCGACCCAGCTCAGAAACTTGAATTAATGAGGTGGGAAAAAATAGTCAGATGGTTAAACATTTCTTTCGAATTAAGAAATAGTTTATCAACTGCATCTCATATAAAGCTAAAAAGCCACTAATTAAATTACAAATTTTGAACATAGACATAAACCTTATTTTACTTGTTTTCATTTGTGTGCATTCATCTGTACATATATTATTCTCTTTCTGATATTTTACCTTTTAGAAGATTTATCTGAAAAATTTAGTTTAACAGTTTTAGTTTACTAAGTAAACTCAATGGATAATCACACTTGTAACATAAACATAGACTAATCATATTCATTTGACTTTCTTTTGTAGTTTATATATATATATATATATATAATTTTCATTTCATATGACATAAATTATTTTTATATATTTATCAAAGAACATATTCAACATTTTTGTTGCTAGGTCCCATGTCCTGCGCTAGAAAAGTGGAGGGTTGCGTTAGGTAGTTGACAGCCAATGTAAAACTTGTTTTGGACTTTAAGATGATGGGGCATAAGATAAAAAATAAAGTGAATCGTTGTTCTAGGATCATATAGTGGCATTTAAAAAATAGTAACAAAAATATTTTTGAAAGTAAAATTTTAAATATCAAGATTTTGTCTGTGCATAAGGAAGCTAATATTATGTGAGAAAAAGTAATTAGTGATATTAAGATTGTTACAAAAAATGTATTTGGAGTATCAAAGTTAAAAACTACTAATAGTAAAAATAGTTGGTAGTGAAATCAAAAGGTGCAAGAAAAAATAAAAAATACAACAACAACAACAACATCAAGCCTTTGTCCCACTACGTGGGGTCGGCTACATGAATTGTTTTTCGCCATTGTGTCACATTTTCAACATCAAGTTTACTTTCAACTTCCTCTTTGTTTTATCAACAAGAAAAATATCATCAGAAAAAAACATATACCAAGGTACATCCTTTTGCAAATGCCTAGTGAGAACATCCATGACTAAATAAAAAAGATATGGGCTTAAGGCTGATTCTTGATGTAATCCAACAAAAATAAGAAAATACTTGGTCAAACCACCTTGTGTTTGAACACAAGTAATAGCTCTTGCATATATATCTTTAATGATATGAATATAAGCATTATTGACTCTTTTCTTTTCAAGAACTCTCCATAACACTTCTCTTGGAACTTTATTATGTGATTTCTCTAAGTCAATAAATATCATATGTAGATCCTCCTTATTCTTAAAGTCCAAAACTAATAATCGATGTTGGGTATATAAATTTTCACTTTGAATAACTTAACAATCTAAACGATCTAATTTTTTTATAAGAAAATAATCAATCTGCATTTTACTTTTTTATTTTTTTATGTGATATGATGCTCATATCTTTTCTTAAATAAGGTATTAGCTATTAAAAAATCATAAGCTAAAGAAAAATCTAATTTGATCTTACCATCTTCATTTGTTATTCCAAATCCATAGCCACCCTGAATGCTTTTAAAATTATCTACCTCTTTACCGACATGTCCTTTTAAATCTCCTCCAATAAAAACTCTTTCTTCAAAAGGCATATTTTGTATTAAGTCTTCTAAGTCATTCTAAAATTTTAATTTTGAACCCATATCAAAACCTACTTGAACAACATAAGCGCTTATAATATTAACAACCTTATCATCAATAACAATCTTCAAAGCTATAATTTTATCTCTAATTATGTTAATTTTAATAACATTATCCTTCAAACTTTTATCTATAATCTCACCTAGACCATTTCTAGTACAACTCCTACTCGAATATCATAGTTTATATCCTAAACTATCAATCTCCTTAGCCTTCTTTCCAACCCATTTAGTTTCCTGAATGTACAAAATATTTATCCTCCTATGAATCATAATATCTATTGATTCCATTAATTTTTCTATTAGGGAATTTATATTCCAAGTTCATATCCTAATTTTAATTTCATGGACTAGCTTCTTTGCCCACATCCATCCTCGATGTTGGAACCCTTGCCTATTTAACACTACATCCGGGCGTCGGTACAGCAGCTCTTATACACTTGTCGTTGTATTCAAGCCATACAACTAGTTGCTTACAGAGAACGCCCTAGCATTAACATAATTTTTTAAAGGATTTATGTCATAATTATTCGACAAGTTTTATGCTGGTTGTCAACTACCTAACACAACCCTCCACTTTTCTCATCCAGGACTTGGGACCTGACAACGACAGTGTTCAAGAAAAGATAAAAAATAAGAAGATCTATTATAAAAATTTATTTAACTGTAAAAATTATTCTGATATTTGAGAAAGATGTAAAGAGGTCTGTAAAGAGTCTATGAAAGCAATTTTCCATTAAAATTTTTAGCTTTTATTGATTTATATAATAGATTAGATACTAAGGAGGGTGAAAGATATATGTATAATTTAGCTAAACAAAGAGATATGAGTAGTAAATATTTAGTTCAAGTGAAATGTTTTAAGGATGAAGATCAAAAAGTGCTTTTACTAGAAGAAGATATTCAACAAAGGTGGATGGGATATTTTGCTAAACTTTTCAATGAAGATTATGAGAATGCGATTGACTTTAGTGATCTTAGAATAAATATTTTTGTTTTTATCGGCGTATTTGTAAAACGAAAGTTAAAAGAGAATTTAAAGAAAATGCAATGTGGAAAAGATGTTGGACATAATGATATGCTAATAGCGGTCTGGAAAAGCTTAGGAGACAGAATGAATTTCTTAGCCTTCATTTGTCATTTTTTGAATACTAAAAAGATGCCAGATGAGTGAAGAATGAGTTTGTTGATTCTTATTTTTAAGAATAAAGGTGATGCACAAGATTGTGCAAATTATAGAGGAATTAAGTTAATGTTCCACACTTTAAAACTATGGGAGAGAGTTATGGAGCATAGGTTGCGGCGTGACGCTAATGTTTCTCAAAATCAATTTGGATTCATGCTAGATTGATCTACTATGGAGGCTATTCATTTGTTGAGAGGTTTGATGGTGAAGTTTAGAGAGAATAAAGATGTTCTACATATGATTATTATTGATTTAGAGAAAGCATATGATAAAGTTCCAAGAAAAGTGCTATGGAGAGTTCTATATAAGAAAGGGGTTTATAATGCTTATATTCAAGTCATTAAAGATTTGTTATTTGTTGTTAAACACAAAGTGGTTTGACCAATTATTTTCCTCTTTCAGTTGGATTACATCAATGATTAGCCTTAATTCCATATGTTTTTGCTTTAGCCATGGATGTTATCACTAGACATTTGCAAGAGGTTATACCTTGGTTTATGCTTTTTGCTTATGATATTCTTCTTGTTGATAAGTCTAGAGAGGGAGTTGAAGGTAAACTTGAATTATGGACATCAACTTTGGAGTCTAAATGTTTTCGTTTGAGTAGATCTAAAAATGAATATATGTAGTTTAATTTTAGAAATAATAGATCTAATCGGGGGGGGGGGGGATGTGTA